GTTTTTATTTAATAGAATTTTTGTACAAAAAAATCACAATATATCGCAATATATTGCCTTGCTTACAGTATCGCAATATATCGGGATATATCATATCGTGACCCCTCTGTTATGATATGTATCGTATCGCCAAATTCTTGCCAATACACAGCCCTACTAGCACAGTATTGTTTATGATCAACAGCAGTTGTTATTTGCACTACAAAGTCCATGAGTGCCAATGATGTGGAGTCGTTAGCTCTAAACCCATACTGACTGCTACTTGGAATATTTTGTTAATCGGTAAATTGATCCAATCTAAGCACAAATAATTTCTCTAAAATCTTTAAAAACTGTGGTAACAAGGATATTGGTCTGTAATTATTGAACATACATTTCTCACCATTCTTAAAGAGAACCTTTGCTCCTTGGCTATTTTCATATTATCTGGATGTAAAATATACAGAAATACGAATAAGAGTAAAAGTAAGAGAGTTTTACTAACTAATGAGTTGCAGTGAGTAGCTGCCATTTTGAATTCTTCCATTTTCTGACTGGGAATCTTCACTGGGGGTGGGTTGCATTTGTTTGTATTTTGTGAAGGATTGTTGTGGCTAGTGGGAGGGGCTAGTGATTAAGGAACCCAACTCTGAGAGAGGCAGAGAGAGAAAAGGTAATGTGGTCACAATGAAGGTAGCTTAGATGTMGAGATTGAGTTCATGTTTTTTAAACATGGAAGGAAGGACTTTRCCAGCCTGGAAGAAAATAAAGACTAAGATCTACAGTTTCCTGACCTGCTATTAGATGTTTGGATGATTTTTCATCGCATTCAAAAAGAGATTGTTTGTTTGTGGGGTGGGGGGTGCGACACTAAAAGGATTCAGTTAGAAAGTGACRTACCTGAACCTTGGTGTTCTGCTTTAATGGTTCTGGATGGTTTCCCTGGCTCTTTTTTTTCTACCATCCTCAATGTTCTTCTGATCTACCTGGGCCTGCATTAACTCTTGCGTCCACGTCGTAGGTGATTGACCACTTTTCCGTAAACCTTTTTTTTTTTCTCGGCAGCTGTAAACATGAAGCAGCTTGGAGATCTTTAACGTGATCRTTAATTTTCTTTCTGAGCTCCYCAGACAGCTCGAGTGGTGCACACAATACCAAATCACCGACTGGCACAGTTGTTCCCTTTGWAAAAAAAATCTGTTGAAAAGCGTAAAAGCATGATAAACACTCAGTTTGTATCTCCTTTAAGCGGAGGCTCAGTTTGTCCCATCCTTCCAGACTGATGCAGTACCATCAGGCGGTGGTGAAGGGTTCAGGCGGGCTGCCAGACGAGCTGCTTTATGGGCGGGTGGGCTACCTGTACTCCCTCATTTTCATCAACCAGCAGCTTGGGCAGGACAGGATCCCACTGCAGTACATCCAGCAAGTCAGTGGCAACCAGAGTGCTCAGTTCTACCATTAAGGAAAGAAATAAGTGAGCTTATTGATGTTCCCTTTTTTTCATGTTTATTTCCCAGATTAGTGAGGCTGTGCTGGCTTCAGGCGAACACTGTAGCAGAAAGTTCCGAGTCCAGAACCAGAGCCCACTGATGTACGAGTGGTACCAGGAGCAGTACGTTGGCGCAGCTCACGGGTTGTCTGGCATCTACTATTTCCTGATGCAGGTAGGACACATCTCCAGTTCATTTAGGATGTACCTTAGTTTATYGATGAAACTCACCTACACTGAGTCAAAAGAAAAGACTTGGAGCCAGATTTTTAGTGAGAGATGACGACTGTTGGTTTGGTGAAAGGTAGGCCTCAGATATTGTTAAGAACTGCACAATATGGCATCTTGATGACACATCTGTGCAGCACAACTCAGTGAAACTTCAACAAAAAAGCAATAGTATCATTTTGTTGAGTTCTAYCAGGACGTTCCTCAGGTTCCCCTCTGACTTTCAGTCTAAAACTAGCTTTCTGGTCACCAGCAGAAGTTCTTCATGTTTGGACAGTTTCCCAGGAACATTAATATTGAAATATGAACTCTGGAAGTTTGGTAAAGCTGACAGGATTACATTTTTTAAATGATATATCATAGACTTCAGTTCTAGCTTTTGACGAGTTCCTATTTTGCTGCTAATGTTTGAAAATAAAGTTGACATTTTGTTGGGGATAGAGTCCTTTCATGTACGTCTCTCTAAGTTTGGGATTTAAAGGGATCTCAGACTACTTSCACATGTTAGCCATGATATTTTATTTTTCTCTTCTATTAAAAAGGCTGTTTGTGACACATGAAAAAATCTAAGTAATTAAAAATTACTTTATTATATTTTTAACTTAAGCATGTTGTCATTTTGTTACTGACGCAATGGAATTTGGGGATGATGATGGTGATAGGTTAGAGCTGTGACAATATAAATAACACACACACACACACACAAACACACATACAGTATATATT